GAATCGCATTCTTGCTTTGTGTGAAGGAATTTTGAAATGAACGTAAATTATAATACTTGACGTGAGATTGTTGTATTCGCAAACATCAAATTGTTGGCCAGTCTATAAATACTATAAAATAGCTAAGCTATTTTGTCGTCACAACTATAAACATTAAACCTTTATAAAAAAAAAACTATAAACATCAAACCTTTTCACACAAATTAAAGAGAGAGTTTGTTCAAAAAAAAAAATTAAAGAGAGAAAAAACGTAAAATCTCAACCTATGGATGTTCTTGATCGGTACACTCCTTCTTGTCGTCTCTTATGCCCACGAAAACGATTTTACAAAGATAAAGATGGAAAAGTGATAACAATTAATGGGCAAATCTATCACATAATCGAAACATCTTGTTACATTTCTGATGTTGAAGATGAAAAGCTTAATCATATTGATCACTCTTTGCTTTGTTGCAACAAATATGAAGGTGACGAAAAGTATTTTTACGTTGTGGGTTTTGTCTTGGAAATATAACTAAAACTTATTACTTCTGCAACTATTGCAAATTAAACTATCACAAAGAATGTGTTGAGTCGCCTTCCATGTTCCAATCCTCTTTCATCCAAAACATCTTCTCCAACTTCTCTGGATTCCCGAACGTTACGTATTTCATGAGTATTGTTCTTCTTGCAGAAGAAGTGATGGTAAACTATATTACTATTGTTCTATTTGTGATTTTATCATCCATTTGTTTTGTGCAAAAAACTTAACATCCCTTACTATATATAGACAATCCGAGAAGGCATGAGCATACCCTCCATTACTTTCCTAGAAAATCGAATTTGGTTTGTGACGTTTGTGCATTGGATGGCGATCACGACTACCTATATGTATGTCTTTTATGTGATTTCATTGTCCATAAACGGTGTGTATATTTACCATTTGTCATAAAAGTATCTCGGCATATTCATCGTCTCACTTTTACTTCGAATCTTCCTTCCAAGAAGTGGAGTAATTGTGGCGTTTGTCATACAAAGATCAAAGAATATTATGGGCAGTACTCTTGCATGAAAGGATGCCCTTATGCAGCGCATCCTAGATGTACGATGCGAGGTGATGTATGTGACGGAAAAGAACTTGAAGGAGAGCCTGAAGAAGCATTTGAAAATATTAAAATGTTTGAAGAGAAAGGTGATGGGATTATACAACATTCGAGTCATCCGCACCATCAAATGAGACTTGACAAAGGTTATGATGAAAACAAGCATTGTCAAGCATGCAGACTTCCTTTATATGACAATGGTAACGTGTATAGATGTATGCAATGTGATTTCAATTTCCATGAATCATGCGCATATCTTCCTAGTGTTAGGCAATTTATGCTACATTTCCATCCATTGATACTAGAATTTGGCTATACCACAAGTTGGGTCCAATGTGAAAAATGTTATCGTTACTCATGCGGTTTCAGATATGCGTGTCGTCTTCAAAAATATGATTTGGTGCTAGACATACTTTGTGCTTCTATATGTGAACCATTGGATTACCACGCTCATCCACATCCATTGTTTATAACATCTGATGAAAGAACAAGCAAAATGTGTTCCATTTGTAAATTGACATATCTACAACCTTTAAATTGTATTAAATGTGATTTTGTTTCTTGCTTTCGTTGCGCGACTCTTCTGCATAAGGCAAGATACGAGAATGATGACCATTTGCTCACCTTTTCTTACGAAAAAGAAGATGCGAATGACGAGTTTTATTGGTGTGAAGTATGCGAAGAATATATAAACCCCAAGAGTGGATTGTATGCTTGCAATGAATGTGGAGTCACACTCCATATCGAATGTTTACTAGGAAAAGATCCATATATGAAACCAGGACAAAGTTGCACATTCCCTGAAGGAACGGTCCGTGTTCTTCCCAACACTAGTTCAACTCGACGAAGATGCAGAAGCCGATGTCCTTGCAAAATAAAGATAGAATCTTATAAAGGCCTATTTCTGCTCTTTACTTTGCCATCTCTTTTTCAACCCGAGAGCGTTTGAAGCTGTAGTTGCGGAATCACACTAATGACAAACTCGAGATTTTCTTTCGCTTCTTTATTATCTGTACTAAAGCTACTTTTTATGAATAAATGTGAAAAGTCTAAGTTAATAGCTTATCACTGATCATTAAGAACAATAAAAACGAAATATAACCTCATATTTGGATATGCATTTAACTAATTATCGAAGCTAGTGTTTACGAACATCAAATATTACATCTAGTACTACGTACCTTTACTTAAAAAAAGGTTAAAAATCTTACATTTAAAACCTGAATCATTTTGTTTATAACAAATAAAACCTTTTGCTATTCTACTAATCACAACCATTAATCACCATAACTGAAAATAGAATAAAATGGGAAGCAAGTAGAAAGAAATAACAAGGGGGATAATTTACTCTGATACTAAATTAACAATTAAACCATTTAACTTGAAACAATTTTACAAAAGAAAAAACACGAAGAAGAGCAGAAGACAAGACATGCCAAAGAACCTGTGTCTCTAAAGTAAAGAAAGACAAATAGAAGTTTTGTAAGAAAAAGAGCCAAACCATGAAAGCTTTTTTTCTTAGTTGGGAGACAGAAAATGAACACGAGCAAGTGTGTACTCTTTTCCAGCAATCCAAACACCAGTTTGTGACCACTGTACATCTTCCCAATCAAGATTCTCCTCCAACACCTATTCTCATATCCAAAAACCCATAAATATCATCAATTGTTTATATATTAAATCCAAGAAATTTACCATACAAGAATCGAATCGAAAAGAAATGTTTTACCTCGATATGCTCTGGTGGGAGTGGAAACCCAATAGACCGCATAAGCTTCTGCGGGAGAGGTTTCTTGCAGCGTGACCAACGGAAAACATCGATTAAACTGTTGTCTGAATCTGTTTTGTCACCGTTTGTCTGATGAGGAGGATGATTCTGAGGCTTGTTATTGTTATTATCTATCTCCATAGCTTCATGTGATGATTGTTGTTGTGAGGCTTGGATTGCTTTGATAGTCTTCTCTCCAGCGAAACAGAGCTCATACCTTTTTTTTGCATACAAAGATTAGACTCAGCGTCTCAGACCTTAAAATTAATGTCGATAAAAACAAGTGTTTGTGTGATTTCTGAGTACCTGCATGAATGTGTTTCTAGGTACAAAACTTCTCCCTTCTTTAGGCGAGCAGAGGTGAAAAGAGGCTTCTTGAGACCCTTGTCGGCGACAATGCTAATGCTATATTTGATCCTGCAAAGAATAAATCAATGTGTGAGTCAAACTGATCCTTGATAAATATTCATAAAAGATTTTAGGAAACTCAGTGAAAAATCATATAATACAGCAAACAATACTTTGAAGCATCAGGCCAAAAATTTCAGAGAGTTACCAAGGTTCATTGCAGAGGTTATACTGGATTGTTACTTCTCGTACAAACCTCTGTTGCCTCAAAGCATTCTACAAAACGATAAACAATCTATCAGTACCTGAGAGTTATGATTTATAAACAAACTATGCAATCCAAAATGCCATTTGTTATATAATCCAAGAGTGTTAAAAGATTGCACCAAGTGATCACAGTCAACAATACTGCAATCTGTCTAAATCAAATTTTAAAATCCAAGTGAAGGATGTAAACATTTATAAATTTCAAAACTGGAAGGGAAGTACCGAAGCTGCAGCTCTGGTGGTCATAGATCTCTCAACAGCCATTGGTGCAAGTGTTGGCTCTACAGTTGAGGAGTGTGTAAGAGAGGGTTCAAGTTCAATAGTTCCACCTCCTTTCTGGAATCGTAACAAAGATAATTTGAACACAGAGTTACTTTATAAACTCGATATTATTATGCACTTTGTGGGATAAGATTGTCTGGGAAACATAAAGGACAGATAACAAACAGATGTCAAATCACCTTCAATATATAGCACCGCTCAACCCTGTAACTGCATCCAATTCCTGCTCCCCATGCTCGAGAGCGGACATTGTTCCTTAGCTTGGAGGTATAGTCTAACAAGTATATCAGTTAAATCAGAAGTTTGTATAAAAGTTCTTTCTTCATATAAAACAGAGAGGAACTCAAACAAAGTCATGAATTTAAATATGTTTTGCTCATGAACATGGGAAAGTCAATTAGAGGGGATCAAAAGAATAGTAAAGGTAAGCTAACTTACAATCTTGTGGCGGTAAGACCCTGATCGTAGCACGCAACTCTTGCATTGTCGGTGGAGGAGGAGAAGCTGTGGGACGACAGTAACCTGTATGCATGAGAACTAGAGGACAAAGAGCTCAAAATCAATGTGATGTTAGGACCAAACACAAAGCCATCAACTTGCAAAGACTTCTAAGGACACATACCAGCAACAAGATCGGAATCATCTGTGTATATGTCTGTTCCCCATAGCTGGCCACCTCGTACCTGCATATACAC